CTATGTTTGGACTTGGTTTTATAGCAAGTGGCAAAATGCACCTGTTCAGAGAAGCATAATTAACTACTTAGTAAATATATTCCAAGATTGAATGTCATGCAAACGAGAGAAAACACTTGGAATAGCTAAGTTTCCTATTATATAGCTAAATGCTGGCTTTATTTAAAAGCTTTTGAAAGTCATGTTTGTTACTTTTAATGTTTTAAAACTTCATCTTTTTTATATTCCACAGCAATAACAGTTGCATGATGACATAACCTGTTTCCACAGGAGAGGCAAAACGCAACTTCAAGTTTTCTGGACCATGTCAGACTGTGCATCCTACTGCAGCTCTCAAAGTTGAATGGACAGGATAAATAGGTTTGCATTTTAAAGCCTGTATTATGACTTTGTTAAAAGACCAATATTCTTGAGAGAATTTAATTATCCTTTTTCTATTTTGAAGAAATTATTTATTGGCTTTGAGATGGATTATATGTATGCAGCATTACAATGCTTAGAATTATTCAGGGAATATATTACTACTAACACAACAGATGAAATAGGAACCATGCTCAAATAATCAACCTTTCTCTGAAAGGTAGTACTGATCAGATTGTCCCCACTGTTCTTTTACTATAACAATTAAAAGTCATAAAGGTACCCAGGATCCCTGGATGGAAAAAAGCAAGAAAAAAAACATAAGAAAATTCATAGGAATAAGTACATTTCAGAGAAAGCATTTTTTGGTTTCCTGTTTTGCCTATGTTTGTTTGAGAAATTCGTATGATCTTCATGCCATAAAAGGCATTTTTGATAGTTCTATTGACAATAATTATCTAGTCACATCTGTTCTGAAGTGCATCCATGTTCAATGTTTCAACTAGCTCAATATTAAAAATAACTCTAATACTCCTAATCAAGCATCTACATATTTAATACCCTGTTTTGGTTTCTTAATAAATTTTGTTAGCTCTAATGTTTCAACATGGGGGCACTCTCAGAGTGATTCAGAATGCAGACCGCATTAAAAAAGAGTAAATCTCATCCATTTCTGGGAAACAACAACTAAAAGCATGTTCTGGAAGAGATTAATGCCTCTCAGGAATGGAGATGAGAAAACGCGTTTATGCTGTCAGGCTCTGGTCTTTGCTGGGAGGCTGTGTCCTAGGCTGTGACTTCCCAGCTGAGACTGGCACCCAGCTGTACCAGCTGTCCTCTGGGAAAGGGAAGTGTTAGCTGGACCTTGGAGACTGTTAGAAAAAGCCTCCTGGGAGCAGAGCAGGGCATGGTTGTATTGCCAGGCTCCAGGTTTGCCTGCAAACTATAAAGCTGGGTACAAACTCTCATTTGTGATTTGATGATCTTCCCCCTAATAACATAATAATAAACAACATAATTTGCTCAGCAGAGAGATATCCTCAGGCTTTGGGGTGTAGAGACGTGGGCCGCGGTGTGGGATAAGGACATAGCACTGAAAGTAGGCAGGATCTGCTGTAGGCCTGAAGCAAGCTTTGACCTGGAGATAACATACCATGCATGTAAACCTTGTAAATGCTTTCATCTGCAGTCAGTGGCAGCATTCCAAATGACTAGCAGAAAGAAAATCAAACCTTTCCTTACAAGCATCCTGTAACATAGCTTTCTCACAGCTGTGAGGAAAATGAATAATGCTCACATGGGGATAAGCTTAGATACCAATGCCTCTGCTTTAGCATGGAATTTCTAGCATTAAAACTTAGATCTGTTCATACAAACACTTACCTACACAAACTAGCATGTGAATTTCCATAATAAAAGGTTCCAAAAGTTTGAGTGGTAAATAAATAATAATTTGTGTATCAGTAAGAAACACAATGTAAGCTGTAATCAAACCTGATCAAAAATATATCTGTAAAAAGAAATTCTTGAACTTTATAAGCTACAAATCCATTCCACACATGAGGAAACAGTCTGAAATCTCTCCAGGGGTGTCTAAAGGATTTTTCATGTGGCCTTCTGTCCTTAACAATCATTCTAGTACTTGCAAGAAGCCCACAATCTGTTGCTATTAAAGCATTAGCTTACTTTGCAAGATGTTAAAAGTAGAATAAGAAACATAATCCTGATAAAATTTTCAAGTTGCTTCACATCATTTAACAAAGAAAATATCTTTCTGACCAAGGAAAATAAAACTAAGCTTGCTGAATGTTTATTTCTAGCTACCTCAAAAAGGCAGTTACACAGGATCTCATAGAAGGCTTATTTTGGCCATGAGATTGCGCAGAAAAAGTTAGGTTGAAATTGATTTTAAAGGTATGTAGTAATGAGGAATATGTGGTGTAAGACTGAAATAATATAGATGTTAATTTTCATAAACCACAAAAAAAACCCCAAGCATTAGCAGTAAGTCAATAAATGATTACTGCTAGTTCCACAGCAACCATACACCAGCCTAAATCCAGTGTCCCAGTGATTTCCACTGCTGTTGAATCTGGCTCTTAACCTTGGTAAACAGACAGAGAGGGTATTGCATAATCCATTGTGATAAAAATTTTAGTTGGGCTTTTATTTATTATTTTCAGAAAAGATAAGGATTTTTTTTCTCCAAGGTTTTAATTATTTTGATTAAAAAAAACCACCCAAAACCACATAAAAAAAAAAAAAAAATCTTAATTTGACAAACGTTTTCCCATTTTTTAATCTTTAATGTATTTGTCCCACCAGGTCATTTGCTAGGAGGCAAAGTATTTCAGGAAAAGCCTGACGTGGCTTTTCCAGAGTGGCAAACAGCAGCTATGCACACCGGGGGGAACGCTGCTTACAGGTCCACGCGGGAAGAACGAAAAAACGGCCTGAAAACGCGAATAAACCAGCACAGGCCCACAGGTGACGGCAGAATGTGCCAAGGCCGCCACCTGTCCCCAAACGGCCGGCAGCTCCCGGGCCGCCCTCCTGCAGGAACCACTGCTGCCACCGCCGAGGCCCCGCACTCTTCAGCGGTGCCTGCTCCGTGCTCCCACGCGTGGCTGGGGCCGGCCGGGAGTGCCCGACCCGCGCTCCTGCCCGCTCACGGCAGCCCCCGCAGGGTTGGAGGCGCAACGTCAGCCGGAGCCAGGCCCCGAAGCTCCCCTCGCCCGGCGGCGGGGGAAGCGCTGCTCGCGGCCCGGGCCCCGAGCGGTTGCTAGGTCCTCGGCTCGTATCCTGGAGGCAGCGCGGGCCGCTCCCACCGCGAGGGGCGGCGGGGGAGACCGGTGGCTCGGGAAGGCTGGCCACCGCTCCTGGCGCCGCCCGCCCCGCGGTCACCGCCCTCTTTCCTCAGGCGCTCTCCCCGCACGTACCTCTGGGGGAGAGTTGGTCCTCACCGCCCCGCCTGGCCGGCCGCCGCCGGTGCCCCCTCTCGGGGAATGGTTGCTCCCAGCTCCCGGCCGTAACGTCCCGCTCCTCCTCCCGCCGGTGCCCGGCTCGGATGCTGCCAGCCGGGAGAGCCCCGCCGCGCTGTCCGTGAGGCGCAGCACGCTATCGGCGGGGTCCCGCGGCACCCCTGCGTCGCCTGGGAGGACTGGAGCGCCGACAGGTAACGGTTGAGGGGGATCGGTGGGGCGCTCGCCCTCTCAGCCCGCGCTTCACCTCACCCGCAGCTTCTCGGCCCGCCGCCTTCGGCTGCCGTCCGCGGGGAAAGCCGGCGGAGCGGCTGCCAGCCGTGATTCAGCATCGCCGCCCGTAAAGGATGTGCGGCAGGCAAGGGCAGCTCTGCCCTGCCCTGCCCTGCCCTGCCCAGCTTGGGGGCTGCTGGAGCCGGGGAGCGGGCAGGGCGGCGGGGGATGCCGTGCCGAAGAGCGGTCTGTCTTCTTCTGGGGGCGATGCTCTGGTGCGGGGAGCACCCCACTGCTGCTCGCGTGCCCGGCTAAGTGCTGTCTGCAGAGCCGGCCCCCGGCCCTGCACCGGGGTGTCCTGCCTGCAGCGGGCAGCTCTCGTGTCAGGAGGGGAGGGTAACTGCGAGCGTGTCGCAGTGTGAGGCGTAAAGAGCCGTTTCGAGTTTAAAGGTATTAATGTGCCCTAACACCTTCCCCTTTGCCCCCCCCCCCCCCCCCCCCCCCCGAGTTTTGCGGGTGAAGTCCATCATCTGTGCAGGTCGTTTCGCATGTACGGCCAGGTCTCTTCGGAGCCGGTTAAGGTTAAAACGGGATCTTCTGCTGGCAGTGGTACCCAGGGGAGGCTAAAATGTAGAACAAGTTAAATCCCTGGAGATGCAAGTCAGGTATCTTCCCGTGCTTTCTGTGCTTAGTTGAAAGCTCGTGGTCTGTGGAATCTTTTGAATTTCTGCTGTTGAAACCACACATAATTGTAAGCAAAAGGGAAAAGCAATTGATGCTGGAATTGGAATTTGAAGTACTGCTGAACTCTGTGAAACTGACTAAAGGTCCTAAACAGTAGTTGCTTTTGTGTCTTTCATACTTATTTTCAGTTTGAGTACCAAAATCAGATTTTATTCCTTTTCAAAAAACCCCAAACAACCCAAGGACTGCCTCTCTTAATTCTTTCCTGCTTGAATTCCTCATTAATTTTATGTGCCAGGGTGTTAGTACCTATCTAAATAACACTTAGAGAAATCCTGCCAGTTGTTTTCGCAATTGAAAGACTAGAAGCACTTTTCTGTGTGGGTATTGGTTATCCCCCACAAATTCCACAGAGTATCTCAAAATATACAGTCACTTGGCATCAGCAGAAGCTTCTGTCCATGTTTTAAGTACTAGGGTAGAGTTTTTAATAGAAATAGGTTATGTGTCAGTACTACTTTGAACAAAACCTGACAAAAGCAGTTTTTATGTCAGTGAGTAAATGAGTAAAAAAGAGTAAAAGGGTGTAAAAAAGAGTAAAAGGGTAAAAAAAAGGTAAAAAACCCCTCTTACATGGAGAGTAAATATAATCTCTATACTGACATATGGAAGTATAATCTGAAGCCATTTTTTCTGAAGAAAAATGTTACAAAATTTCAGTGAATTATACGAGCTATTTCGTTTTTTTTTTTTTAGAAAACACCTTTCTGTATTTCTGATGGTTGGATACATTCTGCATGCTTCCAAAGGGAGCTGCCCACCGCTTTGGGAGCGTTAGAAGAGTCCAGGAGATCATGCCTGTCAGCAGTTATTAGGTAATTATTCCAGTAATCTAGCAATCATTTTAGTAATCTGAGGCTCAGGTTTGCAATTAAATCAGGGTTTGTTCCCACGCTCTTCCAAAGCCGACAGTGTTAAATTAGCAGTGTAGATTATGCTGTGGACAGGTCTGAAGGTCTGGGAAATGAATTAGTCAACAAGCAGTTAGACACTAAACCATCTTGCAATCTTGTCTATAGTTAGGATCCTTTTTTTTTAAGATCTATATGCTGCTCTATGTTGATAATGAAAGCCATAAATATATTTTTGAAGGTGAAATGTGGCAGAGTAATGCTGACTGCTGATTGTGTTTGCTCTAAATTGTCAGCATCATGAAAGACTGAAGTATGATTTCTTGATTCGAATCTCCATCTGTGGATATGTGTTATAAGTTTTAAAAATCTCTGTAAGATACATATGGCAAATGAGTCATTTCTTGAATTTCCTGAATTTCCACATCTTCTAATGTTCTGGGGGGGTTTATTTTTTTTTTCTCTTTGCTATGTTTTAATGTGGTATTAAGGAGTATTTTTGCTTTCAATAGATACTTGCAGATATCTCATACAAATTGAGGACACGGTTTTAAAATGGAAATCCTTAGAAACCCAAGAAAATTTAGATGAGAAAATTTAGAGTATTATTACTGCCTTGGAGTGTCGTGACTTTTTGGCCAATCCTAAATCATACAGACACTGAATTGTATAGACAGGCTTTGTATCAGTCCCTGAAGAAAAAGATGAATACTTGTCAGTCTTTTACTTTGTGATGAGGTATTTCCATCATCCTGAGCTGACACAGTGACTCTCTAATGAGAGGGGGGAGGGAATAGTTGTATTTTCCTAAAAGAGGGCTAGAGTCTGCATGAAGATAGTGGGAGTTCCTTTTGTTTTGAAGGATGTATATAAACTGTCAAAATTAGGAAAATTGATTGTAAATACCACAGTATACATTGGAGGATATTAGCTGGATTTTGTTTTTCCCCTGTGAGCTTTAGATTGTTTAGCCTTAGATTCACTTTTATTTTCTACACGCCTAGGAAGTTAATTGGTGCTGTTTGACTTCTGGCAGTAGGATTCAAATGGCCCTTATTAAGCACAAGGAAGCTCTTTAGAGCTCCATTAATGCTTATCTAAAACCAGAATGGTACTTTGCAACTACTCCTTTCACAGACATTATGAGCTTCCTCTAAAGCTTACTGGAACCAATGAACCTTTTAAACATTAATATTTAAAATACTAATGTATTTTAATTTTATAATGGAATTTGTTGATGCCTACTACACTGATGGCTAAGAAAATAATCTGTAATTGAGAATGGGTATGGGATTAAAAACATTGTCAATCTCTAAATCTGTTGGGTATTAGAATAAATCCTGTTCCACAGTAGCACCCATCTTGGACCCAGAAGCTCTTCCAGACCAGGAGGTTCCATAGTGCCTCCGTCTACTGGATACTCTTCTTCCTGGTGGTAGATGTGGGAAACTACAGGTTCTGCAGAGCTTTAAGTCTTAGCTTTTTGCTTGTTCCCAGTGTTCTTTCTAGCCTTCTCTCTTAAATGTTCATACAGTTGTACAAACTAGTTTTAAAATACTACCTCAGTAATTTATACTCATTTATCAGCATTTTTGCTCTTGCCTTGAATTTCATAGGCCAGGAAACAAGCTCTAACATTACAGAATAAAGTTTTGGCTTTGTGTCTTAAAGGACTAAACAAAGCAGGCATCATGGTTCTTGCCTTCAGTATCAGTTTTAATCAGAACATGGGATCTCCAAAATGAAGACCTATGCGTACAGTTGTCCTGTTTCTTCTCCCAGTGTTAAAAACAGAAGTTTGAATAGTTTTTAATATTAAAAAATAGGTATTTATTTAAAAAATATCTTTGCTTCAAAGGCAATTATTTAGGGAATATAATCACGCGAGATTTTTTAATAAGCATTCTTCTCTGGGGACACAAAACCCCAGAGAAGAAGAAAACCCCCATTGCTTCATGGAAAGCCCAAATTAACAATACTAATGAAAGAAATACAAAAGGAAACAACATCATGATTTAGGACTCATTTTTCACTTTCCTTTTTGTGGAGTGAGAGGCATGCCAGTTCCCGCTTATGCTTGTATTTGGTTTTGGAAGGATTCCAGATTGAAGTATAGTATGCACCACTGCTCAAATGCACCTTAGATGGCTACATTACTGTTAATTGATAGAAAAAATTGACTGCCTAAAAGGATGAAAGTGCTTGACGCAGCAGTGCAGAAGCCCCTTCTGGCCAGCACGAGAAAAAGAGTATTAACAGTCACTCTGAAGAAGAAATAAAGACAGACTAAATCTGCTTTTCATATATAATAAATGCCACAGAAAGAATTGAGTGGGGTGTGGGCTTCACAGTTAGGTACAGCAATGTGTTGACAAGTTTATTTTCATCCTTGCTTAGTAGCAAAATGCTAAATATATTCTTCTTTGGTTACATTAAAGTATGTTTCCTTCCAACTTTGTCCTTGGGTTGACATGTGTTTGTTTTATTTTTAGTGCTTGAAAACCAGCACAGTACTATCCCTATAGGGTGCAGTGGAAGTACTGGAGTATAGCATGAAAAAATGAAATCAGATGCTTAATACTGAATTCATGCAGGTGAAGAGGCACAGATCTAGATATGGTTTATGAGCACAAAAAAGAGTGGACTGACAGGGTAGAAGACTCTGTGATTTGATGGGGAAATTGCTTGCTCTGAATGGACTTTCCTTGAGAAATACAGAATAGAGCTATGTGATGGAAGTCTGCATTTTCTTTGTTTTTGTGAGTGGTTGTTGTGTTTAGTGTTCCATAAACTTGAAATTTCTGTGAATTTGTTACATTGTTTTAATCTTTCAAGCTTATCTTGGTGGTGTGGGGGGTGGGAGAAATGTGCTAAACACTTTGTATGAATTATTGATGGAATTGATCTGAGAGATGTGCAATTTATTCACTCAGGAAAAAACCACCCTCTTTTACTGCGTTTTATTTCATGTGCCTTTTTAAATATATATATATAATATAATATTATCCTAACTTCTTATCTTTATGTCAACTTGAAGTCTTTGAAAGACTATAAATTACTAGTGAGCATTAAGTTGAATAAAAGAATTTTTTGCTTAAAAATGAACAAGAGTGATGTGAGAACTGACTTTGGTACATTTTGTACCATTTAAAATATGGAAAATAGAAGCATTTACTGAAAAGAATGTTTCTGGGGATGGAGAGGATAGTTTCAGTAAGTAAAATGAAGAGTGACTGCATGATGAGATAGACCCAGAGTGGCATCCACAAGCGAAGAAATAGAAGAAAAGTAAAGGAACAGTGCAGAGTTAGATTGAAGTTCTGGACACCAGCTTAGAATGATGCAGTTAATGATCCCAAGCAGTTGCTTAAAAAAGTCTATTTATTAGTTTCCTCTGTTGCCTCTAGATATGAAAAGGAAAGACATTGTGGCCTTTCTGCCTAAAGCAACACTCAGGAATACAAACAGATATATAAGAAGCAAGTCTTTGATTTTCTGAGAAAATGAAATCGAATTTGTAAGAATGAAAATAAAGATATTTTTGTCAGTGGGTGTTTGGCAATGTCTGAGGCAGATAGTCAGCATGCCATTTAGTTCATTGATAACTAAAGAAGAAGTAACTCTGTCAGTTATAGGACATGCATGCATAATGCTTTTCCAGCTGTTTGAGGACAGTAGATTAATGGTCCAGTTGAGGCTGACTCTCTGCAACAGCTGGATGTAAGAAAATTGGAACTGAGAAAGTATGAGGAGCCATGGGGAAAAGTTGTCTCCGGGAAGAGACTTCAGGATAGATGTTCACGTTTCACTCCCAGTTCTGTGCTTCCACACGCAACTGTATCTCAGTTGGTTTCACTGAATTTTCTTCTGTAATGCCCACTGTGTTTCAAAGTCCTTGAATTAATATTTTCTTGAATTTTGGAAGATGTAGCTGTCTGATTATGGAGTAGAGGCATTCATCCTTGGTGGTTTTTATTGTGTATTATTTATTTTAAGTAGTGAGAGTCATGCTGAGCAACTTGGGATTCATCTCACCAGGGTTTATACATCTAAAATCTAGATACCTGCAGCTGCCTGCAGTGATTATATGTAGGCTGTCTGTGAAGGTAGCCCAGAGAAACTAGCTCAAAAATCTGAATTTTAAGGGTCTGCATTTGTACAGATGAATCCATTGTTGTGTCTTTATATTCGAGGAATAAATGTGCTTGCAATGTCATCTGTGGGATTTCATTGTACTGATTTGTGTGAAAGGGAGAACCATACTTCATATGAACTGGGAAAAATGGCAACAAACTGTTGATAGAGCTATTGAATTCTCAAGACCTTATTTCTTTGTGCTTATGGTGCGAATATGCACATCTGTTTGATTTTCTGTTTCATTTGAATGGGTAAGCAAGAGAGACATTATCTGTGGTTCAGAGAAATCATCTGCTCTTACAATCCGTAAACTAAGGGTGAGGAAGTAAGGAAATGACTTTTAAGTATGTTGTAGTCTTTGCACATTCAGCTCCCACCTTCATTCTACCTGTATATGATTCTAGAAGGTTTATGTGAATATATCCTTCTCCATATTACTAGAATCTGGCTCTCCACAATACTTTGTAGAACAGGTGTGACAGTAGTGTTGTAGTTGGTCTTACCTGGGAATGCAATGGGCCTGACTGCTATAAAACTGACATAATGGAGTGCAGTTGATTTGTCCAGAGTTTTCTTCTTTGTTGTCCCTGCCCCCTTTCTTTTTTCTGTGAGGAGAAATAACCCATTTGAACAAAATAATTTTCCAAATCTTATTACCTGATGGCATTCATGATCCATAGTCCACCCTTATTAAAATGGTCTGAGCTGTCAGGTCAGACCAATCTTTTCTGCACAAGGAAGAAAAATAGTATGACAAAGAAAAGTCATGTGACATGACATCAGAAAAATATTCTCAGTGATGTAAATTGGCCAGATTTAAGAGATGTGAATGGTTTCAGAATACTACAGGAACTGTTATCCCAGGAAAGGAAGTAATGTTTCTCTATCACTTCAGTTAAGATTTCATTTGGTTTAAAGATTGCTTTATAAGGTTATAATGTTGGCCTCACTGAAACCAAAAAGGGTTGATTTGTAAGCCTCAGTCCTAGTGGTCCAATGCTGGAAGGGAATCCTAACCAGTTTTCTTATAGCAAATTTTGAACTATTAATTTTCTTTAGTTTACTTCTCTGCTGCTATTTGATGTAATTGTGGTCTTGACCTCTTAGTTCTACATTTGAAGAAATCAGTGTTCTGGTTACAGTACCTCATGTCTGTGGTATAACTCCTTCCCAGTCACTGAGTCATTTTCTGTTTTTAGATTTTACTTCTCTTCAGCTTATTGTTATGACTAAATCCTACTGACTTTCTTCCCACGGCTCTTGTCACACTCCGAGTAAAGTGGGAAATAATGCATTCTTTTCTTATACATCATGCTTTTCTCTTTTCACCGAAAGCACAGGGGAAAAAATACCTAGAAATGGTTAAGAAAGAGATCTAAACCGAGCAAGGGATAGTCTAAATGGGAAGGAGATGCTTCTGCAGCATGTCTTTCCCTGGTGTACCACCACTGCCTGAAACTGTATCAGCTGTCAATTATTGATAGAAAAATTTGTTTCCAGAGGGCTGACTCTTCAGATAGTTTCAGCAATGCAGCACTAATGGTAAGTGATTCCATTTTGCTCCTTCTACTGCAAAATTATTTTAAATCCGTTTCCATGCCAGTGGGAGGTCTTGGTATGACTGTTTATTTTGCAGTATGTAATCTTGTCATTGAAATCCATGATAAATAATTTTTGCATTCTTATCAGTAATTTGTATGCAGAAGAATTTGGTGTATCATCCTGCCACATGCTGCTGCTAAGTGTGTGTTTGGTTTGTGTGTTTGCTTTTTCGTGTGTTGTCCCCCCCCAGCTGTTCTCTGTTGCAGACTATATTAATTGAAATACATTACCTTCAGTTTGAATTCTTATGCATTCTGCCCACTGTATGTATTTTGGAATGAGTTCTTTTTTCTTACTCTTTTTCTCTGTCTTTATGCTCTTTCTCATCCATCCTTGAGCTCACAATTTATCTTATAATGGATAGATTCAGGAGCATCTTCTGAATGCAGTAAATCTTGATCCATTAGCCAGAAAAAAAAACAACCCAAAACTTCTGAAGAACGGCATGAACCCTTTTCTGTAGCATTATATCTATGTATTACCTGCACAGTAATCCCTGTTTCTGAACCTGTGAATCCTACATGAGCTATGAAATGTGAAGCACTGCCTCTAGCCAGCCAAGCAGTTCTGAAAGTGATAACTTGAAGCTTGTAATATTTGTCAAGAAACAGAGAAAATCAGAGGCAACTCAGTTATTTTTAGTTGTAATCTCTACTGTGATGAGAGTTTGATTTAAATGGACTGTAGTTTGGACCTGGATGAGATGTGGCTTGGTCTTGCTCCCGAATGAGTCTGTCTTCATTATATTTCTGAATTGTGCCACCAGCAGGGCTGTTCTGGAACTGAAACTCTTTGCGACAAGGTCCACTAAAAGTCAATAGAAATGTCTATATTTACCTCTCGACTACTTAGAAGATCCTGTTACGCATGGCTTGATCTCATTTACATTATTGACTTGAAATATATGTTGTGCTTTGTGTACATTTCTTCTGAATGATGGAACTGGGAAATTTCCTGGAGAAAAGCTCTTTCTTCTTGTGAGCAATCAAAAGAGCATTTCATATTTGTGAAATAATATGCAGAGTCCTGGATCAATAGTCAACTGTGAATCCCAGTTTATTCTCTTTCTTTTTTTGTTTATCATTGGTCTTCTACATTCTCATGTGCTGCTGCTGTGATTAAAGTCATGAAGGCAAATAGGCACACTTTGCATTAAACATTTACTGAAAGATTTATTCTTCTGGTTATTAGGTGTGTTGTAACTTTTCCATACCTTTGTATTTAAAAACACATTTGGCTCAGGTTGGTGCATTTTTTCCTTAGCCAGGGTTGTCATGTAAATATAATACTCCCTGGCTACAAAAAATTCTTCTGTAATATGAAGGGTGTGATATATTTGAGAGTCAGAAGCACAAAACAATAAACATTGTAATTTTCAGCCTTAGATGATATATTGATTAAAAAAAAAAACAGTGTGTGGATCAATTCTCAGTCATGTTTTAGTTTGGGGGGTGGTGGCATTTGTTGCTATAACAGAATCAGAAATTTATGTATTTCTTTCTTTTGAACATTTGAAAACCAGTTAAGTTTACAGTCATATACATGCTGGCTGCATAACTTTATCCCTTCTGCTTCATTAAGAATGCACCTTTAAAAAGTATAAAATTAAAGCAATGAAAAACCAAATAGAGCCCTGCTCAATGAACTGAATATACCACTGCTCTGGCCTCTGGCTGAGGACTTTTATTTCAGTACATTTCTCAAGTGTAGCTCTTAACTAACACACAATGACTTTTTTTAAAAAACCAAAACAAAATGAACACAAACACACAGTCCAGAGCCAATTGCCTTTAAGTGTTGCTTTTTGGGAATTCATCAAGATGGATGAGGACAGGACTGACTGTGATATTGTTCCAAACTTGGAACTGTGCTGCAGCTGTGATTAAAGTCATGAAGGCAAATAGGCACACTTAGGGAAGTTATCTCCTCAGATGCTGGAGTTATTTTAAACTACATTAAAGCTACGATGCTATCGTCAGTATGGTCTCTGTAGCTTAGAGGCAATGTATATTTACTCAGTAAATGAACTGTTCAACAGTACGGGGTTGCATCAGTAATGCTGTACCCATCATTCGGAAGGTACATTATTCTGATCCTATGAGTTCAAGCATATCCTGGAAAATTCTCATGCTTTGTTCTTCTAAGCAAAAATTAAAGCTAGTGTGTCTAAAGTCTGATGCGCGTAAGCTTTTTTTTGTTTGGTATTCAAAGTATTCCATTTGGAGACATGTTATTTTTCTAGGCTTTCTGACTACATGCTTTATTTCTGTACAGGTGAGCAGTATATATACAAAATATTCCTGTAGTAGGATACTGGAGTCTCAGCTCATTACTGATGAAGGTAGTGACTCCATTTAGATCCCCTGCAATGGATAAAAATAGTGTGACATAGAGGGGTTGGAACCAGTCCAGCCTTTGAAAGTTTTTTTTTTATTAATCGGGTCAATTCCAGTTAGAGAAGCTTTGAGGTTCACATCGTTTTGAAACTGCTGATATTCTCCTGTTTTCATTTGAAAAATAGTATTTGGGGCTCACTAGGGTACCACTGATTTCAAAACTAAGTTGTGAGGAGGAAAGCATGTTTTTACTGAAATGTTTGGTAGCAGCTGGCTTTGTCAGCTGTTTGTAAAATATTAGCAGTACTGAGTGTTGGTTGCAGTAGTCTTGGTCAGCTAAGGCCAACTGTGAATATTTCTGACTGTCATTTATTCTTTACAGAGTAGAAGTATATGGCACAGTCATTAAAATATGAGAGGTCTACCAACCCTCATATAAGCCTATGAGTATTCCCAGTTGAGCTGAGCAATTTGATCCATAGTTGGAAGTGTCAGTGTAATAGGATAAACAATTCAGTGATCGTGTAAGAGCACCTTTCTTGTACTTCTGTGGTCAAGAAGGTTTTGAATAGATGTTTCTTGTGAGTGTACTTGGTAGGTTATTCAAGGCCTGATTTTTGTTAATGTTTGCACATCAGGTGCTGAAACTGCAGGCTGATGTCTGCCAATTTGTATTTCAGGCTGCTGTGGGAGTGTCATCCTTGTTGCTAAACTAGGAAAGATTGTTATGTGGCAGCATGTGAATTAGGATGATGTAATCCTCAATCAGAGTCCTCGTGGGCTGTGTGTGGTGACTGCAGTCCATGTCTAGAGATGCTGAAATAGATCTATGCATTGTAGGCCTGTAATATATAAGATGGAATGGGGCAGACTTCATGTGGGGCAATACACACAGGTCTGTAGAAATTTTTTTTAACTATATTTGTGTTGTGTCCCTGAACTTGAGGCTGTTTTCATACCAAGCCAATGCCATCAACTTGAAGCAAGGAAGGGGAGAATTTGATATTTGAGGGTAACCTTCTAAAGACATCCTATTTTTAATGTGTTTTTTGGGGGTTTTGTGTGTGTGTGTGTGTCATTTTTTTTCCTTCCCCAGGGTCCTTGGCAAATCTCCCCCTAAGGGCTGTTTATAATACTATGAATCATTGCAAATATATCAGCTTCACTGAAGGATTAGTGCTTTTTCTGTTATACTAGGACTGCTATGCTGGTACATGTCCAGTCTTGTAGATCCCTAAGATCTCTAGCTGTTGCTAGAGAAATAGATATTTTGAGAAGTGAATGATAGAAAAAGAAAGAAATAGTTTAATTCCAGCAGTGATAAGTGTGTGCTGTTCACAACTTAAAAGACCCTGTGATACATGTTGGTGTATGTTGACATGCTTGTAATGAAGAGCATGGACAGCACACTTTGCAATGTCAAAAGCAGAGCAGACATGTTCCTACAGGTGCCACAGCTCAGTTCTTCTCCTAACTCTCCCTTGTTTACCTTTTCCCCTACCAAACCCACACTGTTAATGTCAGACTTCAATATTGCTGTTACACATAATCATTATGGCATGTTATCAATGCAGTTTCTCTCATTAGCAGCCATGGCTGCCCCACCACAAAGAACTTTGCCTCTCAGTGTGTGGCAGTTGGGCAGTCAGCATGGCTTCCTGCACTCATGGTCCTCAAGATAAATCACACAAGAGTCCTTCAGCTGTTTGTTTTAAAGGGAGTGCTTCATTTGAGGTGACAGGGGCCCAGCCTTCCTGTGAGTGTGGTAGGTATCATGTCACTCAGCTGTCACTTGAAGAGCTGATGTGGCCATCACATCACTCTAACATAGTGTATGTTTCTAGGCTGAAAATGCCTAGATCACTCCAGTGCTATTTTAAATGAAGGTGGAATGGTTGTTGGGGTTGCTGAGGTACGTAAAAATATGTTTTCATTCAGCAGTGTTTAGTCAAACTTACTGTGAACAGGGTCTGGGAATACTTTCTGTTCTAGAGTTAGTGAAATGCTGTCTTGCTGACAGACTTATGGTGCTATCAACACTTATTGAAGTGGTGAACAGTGGTATGAGACCTATGCATTGTCCATGCCTGTTGCTGAGAGTAGAGCATTAAAGTAGATACTTCTTTAGCAGTGCATGATGCAGATACATGTTTTCTGAAATTAAGATTTTACTGTGTAAAAACATGGTTACACTTTGGGTTGTTTGGGCTATTTTGTCAATATTTTTCCTTCCAACTGTGAATGTAAAAAAGATGTTTATTAAAAAGTTCTCTGTATTTATGAATTATTTGTTTGTAAATCACACAGGTTCTTTGTTTTGTCAATTAATGTATTTACTCTGTTTTACTGGACAATAAAAAGGTTCAAGCATTGTCCTTTTTATTGTAGTCTAATTCTGTCTTGCTTTCTTTGATGGCCCTCTTTCAACATTCAGAACATAGCTATGAAACTATAGTACTCAATTTGCTAACAGTCTAAAATATGTTATCACATTAGAAAGGGCTTTTGAAGGGTGAGAATGAGCCAACAGATAGTCACGTTGTGTGCTCTCCTATGAAAGACACATTGGAGGTCATTTTTTAAAGGAGAAAATCAATCTTTAGCTTTGAAAGCTTTGACATTAATTGAAATTTGGCCAAGGATTTTCAATTTTGGAAAATAGATGAATGCAGAAAGAAGCAATATTGTTTCAAGACAACACTGAAATGAAACAAATTGCTTCTGTGCCCAGAGTCTGAAATGATTAATTCCTGTGAAACTCCTTATGTTGTGACACTTCCACCACCTTAACAGCTTCTAATACCTTTCCTGTTTTCTGCATTAGGGATGTATACTTACCATTTCATAGTACCTTCTGTGTTCTCCAGGAAGAGATGCAGGTTCTCAGCTGTGATGCAGACTCTGTTTTGCATTGTGTTTTGCAGGTAGACTGGAAGGGTCAGGATGGTTTATGCTTACAGTATTACAAAATGGGCTTTGTAAAGTTATGTTTATTGCATAAACTGTGTTGCAGAAGGCTAAGACTGATCCTAGGGCCTTTACTGATTGGGATCTTGAATAGGAAATGGCAGTTGTATGGTTAAATTCTCATTAAAGTAACTGTAAATTATGGATTCAGAGGTAGCATGCTGTTACCATAGCTTGGTTTGGTTGTTTTGGTAGTCTGGTAGCTCAGAGAAATTTTGAGTGTTAGAAATGCTGGCCATTTGAATGATCTACTTCAGAGAATTGTTTAACAGGACTGCGTGATTCAAAAAAGTGTTGTATAAATCATGCTGTTTGTATTCTTGTGTAGCTTGTAGCAAGCTTGTCTGTTTAGCAAATCAAGCCTCTGAGAACTCAGTACATTTGCTTCATCTGTAAGAACTGCTGAATAGACATCTCATCTGATGGTGAGAGCAAAGGGTGTTGGAATTAATAGATTTCATTTGACTTCAGAATATTTTGAACCAAACTATAATGCGTATGCATTTTTAAGCCATCTGACAGACAGCCTTTTAAAAACAAGCTTATCACTTTGACACATTGAGCCTGAAAATGAGGATTGTTTTTTGTAGTTAGAATTTCTCTGTAGGAGTGAGAACTTGTTACCAAATTGTTAAAATAAAACTGCTTGGCTATGTTTGCTTGTAGCAGGAACACATCAATGTACGTTTTGTCAAGGCATTAAAAAAAAAAAAAGGATGTGAAAGAGTATAAGACTTTTAATTCTGCAGTTCAATTACTGTGAATTGTTATTACCTTGCAATTTGAGGTGGTACTGAAAAAGGCATTTTTCTCTATTATAATTTTTGTTGACGTGTTAATCTCATTCTGAATCTGTATTTTATAGCTTAATCCCAGATCAACAGGAGATTATAGTTTGTATAACTGTAAAAAATAACAGACCCCTGACTACCATGTATCCAGACTTTCACACTCTAAGACCTAAGGGAGCAATAAACTTAAATAGGTTAGATTGAACAAAACAGAACTCAGATGTTCGCTAGGTCAATGCTCTGAAGACTATTTTCACTCCGCTCTTTTTCATGCTTCTGTGAATTTTTTGTTATTTTAGTTTTCCAGCTAATTTGGTAGTGGGGATTACAGTGCTGTGATGCTGTCCTCCCTTCCTATGGACATCGGCCAAGTTCTGTAACTCTATCTTCAGTGTGTCTCCATTTCAGAGTGAAAGCTCCTTATGTCAGCAGCTTTGTGGATTTCTCCTCAGCTACTGTGCATTTCCAGAGAATTTTGACAGCACTGAGTAAATTGCACTAATGGGCTCAGAGGAGAGCTGTCTGCTGGTTTTAAAATCTGTTCTAAAATATTCCACTGTTGGTGAGTGATCACTTACCTGTGCACAAAGAATGCAGCAAATGAAAATGAAACTATCTAGTTTTTGTAGCATTTCACCTACATAAATAGGAAAACACTTAAGAAATGTTGTCCATGTCATATGTGCCATGGCATTGGATCATGAACCTGCATAGCTCATGGTCACCAGTAGCATCACAGCAGCTATACCAAAGGAAGAAAACATTGAAAACACTGCGCTGAGTGGTATACAGTGTTGTCTCTTGCTTTGGAAATGAAACATTTTTATAGTAGGTGATTGTACCTTTCTTAATTCTTAATTCTATTAGATTAAATCTGTTTTAAATATGCATATGCAATCTGGTCTCTTTTTAAGGTACATGGTAATCATTTCATAGTTACTGTATGATCCAAGTTAGCTTGAAGAATCTCATTGATTTGAGTGTTCTTTGGAATAGATTCTTAAATTGCATCCCTTTATTTTAAACTTGAATTTGACTCCCCTGGCTCTATTTTGATCTGATTGATTCAACCTTTTTCTCTGGGATGTTTGGTCTTTGGGGGACACACACACATGATGGTCTGATGGCAGGCAATACCTATTTAGAGATTAAAACCAACCTTCTAAGCTCCACACTGCATCGGGAGGTACGGTGAAGGATTATGAAGTGCAGAGGTCACTTGTGAGCGGTATGGAGCAAATAACGAA